CCCTACATTTTTAATTAGTTACAGTATCAGTGCGTTATTTTATTGGCTATTTTCATACAGAAATAGAAGACACCCTGGAACAAGAAGTGTCATTTGTTACATATTTATGTCAGCTATGTTATCATGTGTTCATAATATATGAACTGTTAGTGTTAGCAATAATAGTGTCTTGAAAAACTTCGGAGAGTTAGTATTATACGGTAAATACCTCACAGTAAAGCCGATAATTGAAACTTAACTGTTTTATTAAGAATTAATTAAATCCTCTGAAACTCCTCTGCGACTTTTTTTTTTTTAAAAAAAACTTTTTTTTTTTCAAATTGGATTAGCCCGATCTGGCAGTGGTTTATGATTTCCCTTCCTTTTTGCATTAGATTTTTTTTTGTTTGTTTTCTGAACTATTATTAATTGTTTCCTTTATTCCAGAAACCTGTGCTAAATAAAAACTAATATTTAATGTGTAGCTTTTTGCATTTTCTAAAATTGGGTAGCTTTTCTTTAGAACATTCTTTCACATTATTTCAGTCAGGTGATATTGTTCAAGTTATATTGAAAAAGATCTAGTAGGAGCATCAAGCAGTGTTGATACAAATTCCATACCACGAATAAACAGCATTCACTAGTCATACTCAAGTGAATTTAAACAGTAAAAAAAGACAGAAGACAATTTCGTGTGTAATTTTGAAATAACATGTGTTAAATAATAGTTGTCATTCATCACTTCAACCATAGTTGTAGTGAATTCATCATTTTTTAGAAATAAACTTTGACTTTACAGACTATCTCTTAAAATTAATTGAAGAACACTTTTTTGGTCTCTTTTTTTATTTTTTATTAGAGGGTGTTGTCTCTGTGAAGACCTAAAATAACTAATACATGTGCTATCTGTTCACTGCATTGAGTCATTTTCATAAATAACAGCCTCACTCCGACTTTGAGCTACCCAGAGGCTTTGCAGTTTGTATTTGCACTGTTTGAATACACTGATGACTATCTGCATTTTATCATCTAGCTTTCCATATTCTTTATGTATCCAGCATAGTCAGAGAGGACTTTTAGATGAATAAACTTCCTTTGAAAAAGGCATTAAAAATAGTGTTCACAACCTTAGGTATATATGAACTGCTAGAGTTATAAAGTATTGAGCATCTGGTTATTGCAATACCCAGTGGATCTTTTTAGATGTTACTCAAAGTACGCATGCATAACTGAAGACATAGATATGTATACTTGTGTGCTCTTTAGCTGCTGAGCTCGTAGTCTTTTGTTTCACAGAAGTCCTTGACTGAGGAACAAATCACATGCAAAGCCAAGCATGAGATTTATTTTATTGTGTTAAATCTAAGTGGTACTCAGCTAATCTTCAGTTCCACTTACTCCTTTTCTTTCTTTTTTTAAACCAGTAAGAGATATTTGTGCATACAAAAAATAATACTAGAAAATTTTGGTTTGCAAAAATATGTGTGTAAAAACTGCACTCTGTCCCTCTGTTATGTTCCTGAGATCAAAATTCAAGATAAAGATTACATGCCTACAACATAGTCAGTTCTAATTGGAAAGTATCTTTATACTGTCTTCAGAGTAGCAAAAGAATTTCACTGTAATAGGAATTACACTCTAGAAATATTTACAGTAAAGGAAGGTGAACACTCAGGCTTGGGAATCAAATGGTATGACCTCTTAAAAGAAAATTCAATTTATCTTTCAACCCCTTCCCCAAAACCTTCAAATCATGATGCTATCTTGTATTTAACTAGTGAGATAAAATTTCTGGTTGTATGTTGCGATGCAAATTGTCCTCAAGAAAATAGGAAGATACATGTTTCCTCCCAGGTTTTGGCCATCTCTCTTCCTTATGTTCAATTACAGTAATCATTTACTTTAGCTTTGGAATCAATTGCACTACTTTGTAGCATCTTACTTTAGAAGTTTTCTCTGTTTGTGGAGGCTAAGAACGTATTTTTTAAGTAAATGCAGGTGATATTTTTGAGGAAGATACTGTGGAGAAGTCCTTTGTGGCACAAGAAGGCATGCCTGCTGTATGCATTCCACTGGCATTGCTTGTCATACCATTACTATTTGTGTCCTACCATACTACAGATGCTGGATTTTCCAGTTTGTTCTGTTCATTTTTGCACCATTAATAGTGTGTTAAGTATATTTCTGTTGATGTCAGTGAACTTGCATCTCCTAGCTGATTTATTCCCAAATGCTTACTTGTATTTAATAGTATAAATAGTATTTAATATATAAATTGTATTTAATAATAGAAATGTAAGCAGTGGAATTAAACAGGTCTGTTTCTTCTGTGGATTTGTGTTTTGAGGTTAGCTAATCTTGAGGTCTAACAAGGTGTTAGCTCTAGTTTGGCTTTTTATCTGTGTTTGGGACATTTGTAAAGGAGTTCTTGTTGACTGCTTCTCTGGTAGATAGTAAAGCATGAGTTCATGTAGTGGGCTTTCTTGTAGTCTTGACTTCAAGATCGTTCTGTCTGGTGCCTGTTTTTAGAAAATGTTCATTATGTACTTAGTATCTCTGAGAGCTCTGTATCTGTGATGGTTTAGTAAGAATAGGCCAAAGTGTTCTCAAGTTCTTAAAAGCAGAAGGAAATGAATACACACATAATGACAGCAAGTTCATTTAAGCTTCATTTCTGTGAGAAACCAGGCTGGTAATACCTTCTGAAGGCAGAGTTTGCAGAGTTTCCCAGGGGCTGACTTTAAGATGCAAATACACCCACCCTACTTTGAGAAGTTCTTATTGCCACCTCTCTTGTGCCATTTTTCTCTATAGGGGGAAGGCATTCCCTCTTGCAAATGTTTGGGCTGGCAAAGCTGAGGGAGTGGCTACAGGCAGCAGGCAAAGAGCAGCTTTTTTAGCTGGGTAAGAAGTAATGCAAAAACAGTAACAAAAGAATACAGGTATTTTCAGTGGGGTCATTAACAGCTGCACAGCAGTGTGTCAGTATAGTACAGGAGTTGGGGTGTGGTGGCGATGAAAGTTGGGCAGAGAAAAAGGAGTAGATGTTTCAGACAGCTCCTGAAAATGGCCTGGATAACCGGTAAGGCTTTGTAGGAGATGAAGCTAAATAGGTGTTCTTCACTCTTCCCATCTTCTGCCATGTGCACATCCACTGCCTTCGTTTGTGTATTTCAGTTACGAAGTCAAGTGTGTTGATACCATTTATGTAATCTTAGTTTACACCACTCTCGAGCCTTCATTTGAAAATTCATGTCAGTAGTCATGCCATCTGTGTAAGTCAGAAATTAGATCCTCTCTTTTTTTTTTTATTTTATGATGATACAGCATCCTTTGTGTGGGAATTCTGGTGTGCTAATAGCATTGTTAGCAAGAGATGTCATCATGCTTAGTGATTTTTATGATGTATTAATAAAAATTGAATATCTTATTTTCCTCAGTGGAGTACTACAAACAAAGGACTTCATAAAGAACAAAGAGTGTGAAGAAGAGGAGACAGAAAATAAGCTGCTTATTTCAAATGAAATTAAAGGTAAATTGGCAGTACTTCATTTCATATTAAAATCTACAGAGCTAAAGAAGTGTGATATTCCTTGAAATTCTTCATGAAACTGCATTGCAACTCATTTTCAGCATTCACTATTTGTGTCCAAAAATTTCTTGACAGCAACACTTTTAACAGTGTGTTTCTTTATCTTGTAATCATCAAAGGCTTTGCCGAGAACTTTATCGCAGTTGTAAAGATGACTGCAAAATGAATACTGGTATAAAAAGTTTCACTTCAAGAATATTTTTCCACTGACTTTTAAAAATAGGTAATTAAACCAGTCTGAGTTGTAAAGGTATAACGTTCACTTATTGCTTCAAAAGTGTATTGAAAGAATTACACATTACAGGCATGATGCAAAGTTAAGGTGACTTACTCAACCCAACCTCAGTCTGTTGTGCAGTCTGATACTTTCCAGCAGCCTAGTGCAGAACAGGCCCTTTCTTTTTCGTGAGTGTTACAGAAGGATGGCTAAAATTTTTACTTCACTGTGGAACTGGAGACACTCCAGTGGAGGGCCACCAAGATGATTAGGTGGTTGAAGGACTTGACATATGAAGAAAGGTTGAAGGAATTTGGGAAGGGAAGGCTTGGAGGAATCTAGTCACAGTCCTGCAGTAACTAAAAGGTAGTTATAGAGAAGATGGAGGTACCTTCTCCTTCAGGATGCACAGTGGTGGGAAAAAAGGGAATGGACGCAAGTTGCTTCAGAGGAAAATCGGTCTGAATATAAGGAAGAAACTTCTCACCATAAGAACAACTGGAATAGGCTGCCCAGGAAAGAGGTGGGATCTCTCTTGCTGGAAATATTTAGAACTTGGTTTGACAGGGCCCTGGATAACTTGGTCTCATGCCCTGCTCTTAACAGAAGGTTGCATCATACAGTCTCCAAAGGTCACTTTCCAACATGGACTTTTCTTTGGTTCAGTGATTCTGTGTGGTTGGTGTGTACTGCTGTGTCAAAGCTCTTGGCTGTTCACTGATCCATTTGGAAAGATTGAGGTAGCTGTTCGTTATTCATTTTTACCCAAATTTTTTAGAAAGAATACAGCACAAATCCAGAATGTCACAAACTTATATTTGACAATTATTTTGCATGTGTGAAACTTAGTATGTTGGGCTAGTTACTGGACTGAGTCAGTGTGTTGTTTCAGTGCAGCTTTTGCTGCAATAATTTTATTAATTCATGCAAGTTCAATGAGAACCTAAATGTCTTAGTTTTGTAACTTAATTCCTTAAGTTTTTAGATTTTTTTCTTTGGCAATTTGTTGTGCCACACAAAATTTGTAAGGCTTTCATCAAAAATCTTGAGTAACTGTGGTTCTTTAAGGGTTTGTTTTTGTTTAAGGGCTACATTTCTTACCTTTTGAGTGAGCTCACCCTTGTAAAACCCAGGAAATTCTTTGACACTAGTAGAGCATTGTGTAAAGATAACATTAGGGTAGAGTTTTCTTTTTAATTACTAACCTCCAATACATTTCCTTTACCTTAAAACATCATTTGTCTACCAGCACTTTTCAGATAGATCTAAGAGGCACTCTGAAGGGTGTGTGAAGTATGAAAGATTCCATCTATTACAAGAGCTGTGCAAAAGTGCAAAAAATCCAGGTTGTTACAGTGTTTTGAAACAAGATGTAGTTCAGAATTCTGGAGAAAATAAAGCATTAAAAGAAGACTCTCTCTAAAGCAGATGAAAGAGAGTTTTTGGTCATTTGAAGTATTTCATTTCAGCAGAATGGAAACATGCTGTTTTGATGTTGACTTTGCATTATATAACACAATACAAAAATTTAAAATCAAATAGTTTGGAGTATTTTAAATTGTCTGCAATTCTTTTTTTATTCTAAGAAAACTGGCCTGATTTTGTGAAGCATTTTGAGTTTGGCAGAATTGACTAATTTGGATAAAGTTTCACCAACAAGCTCTGCTTGCTAGGATACATTTCTGTGTAGGGTCTTGCATAATTAGATTTATAAAACTAGAACACTTTCTTACGTTACTGCTTAACAAAGTTATCCTTTTTATCTCCTTGTTCTGGTTTCAGCTGGTATAGAGTTAATTTTCTTCCTAGTAGCAGGCATAGTGCTGTGGTTTGGATTTAGTAGGAGAAGAATGCTGATAACACACTGATGTTTTAGTTGTTGCTGAGTACTTTTTATGCTAGTCAAGGACTTTCCAGCTTCCCAGGCTCTGCCAGGTACACAAGAAACTGGGAGGGGGCACAGCCAGAATAGTTGATCCAAACTGACCCGAGGGCTGTTCCATACCATATGACATCATGCTCAGTATATAAACTTGGGGGGAGTTGGCCAGGGAGCAGGGATCACTGCACGGGAACTGTCTGGGTATCGGTTGGTGGGTGGTGAGCAATTGCATTGTGCATCACTTGCTTTGTATATTATTACTATTATTATTATATTGTTATTATTACTACTACTACTATTTTACTTTATTTCAATTATTAAACTGTTCTTATCTCAACCCAGGCGTGTTTCTCACGCTTCTGATTCTCTCCCCCATCCCATCAGGGTAGGGGGAGTGAGTGAGTGCCTGCGTGGTGTTTAGTTGCTGGCTGGGATTAAACCACAACACTCGTTTTTATACACATAATTTTGTGCCATTATTTATTTAAATTGCCATACTACTTAATCTTTAGGATGAAAATGGATCACTGAGTTCTTGCTATCACAGTCACGGAAAGCTAAAGCTAAAATAATTGCAGTTGTGCAGACTTTTGTGAACTGTGACTGCTGGTACCTGTGCTTTATTGCCTATTTTTTCTGCATGTCACATTATTCTTCAGCCTACTTTTGCCATACTCACTTGATCAGTTCATTACTGATACTTTATAAAACATGTACAGCTATCTTCTCTTTTTTGGAGAAAGATTATTTGGAGCTAAAGAACTCCACTGAAATTAAGGCCTCTTCATACTAGCCTTTTTTACGGACACAAATCCTGTGCTTAAAAACCTGATACATGCTAGGAGCTAGAACATGCAGGAGGGAATGAACCGTGTTAATGGTCCCTCATTAATGCCAGAAAGTGTGTGCCATTTAGCTTCTTGGAAATGTTAGGTTATATATTGTTGGAAGGTAACTCACTAAGAAGGTAGAGATGAATTAAGGAAGATACGGTTCAGGGGGAAGGATAACAAGGTGGCATTAAGTATGAAGAAGAATGTAGAGGCAGGTGGGCTGATGCTGAAGCAAAATGTCAGCAGGGAAGAACAGTGGTCAGGGTTAAAAATGTGGACTTAACTGCATCTGGCTCTGCTGTCTCGCGTGGAGCTGGCAAGCAGATTTTGTTTCTTCACTTATGTGGTTCAAGGAGCTCTTTGTGGCTCTGATGAAACTGGCTAACCCATGGTGCACCTCAAGTTACTGTACTCCTAAATGTCCAAACTGAGACATAAATTGGAGCACATCACATATTTTCTCTGGCCCACAAACACAGATTGCCTCTCTATGGGAAGCAGGGCTTGCAGAGCGAGGAATACCGGAGCATGAGAGTAGGGAGAACTTTTACATGTCTGGTATTACAGACATAGTTTGTAGCCAAAATGCTGTGCTTTGCACTGTCTTTTGCAAAAATTTACCCACACCAAACCTAAACTTCCTTTTGTCAGGGATGTGGTTATACCTGCTGCAGGGTTGGGGACTGTTGGGTTTTGGTTTGTTTTTTTTAACTTTTCCTCCATCTAGTTGGGTAAATTGGCACTTTATGTGCTTCTTTTGTGCTGTTCATTTTGCCTGTGAGGCAGATACTGCACAGGCTGAGAAGCAGAGGCATTTTTGCCCACATCCGCAAAGGCATTAGGCACTGCATTCCTTTCCATGTCAGTAAATAGAGCTCTTGAATGTGAATAGATGGAGTACAAGGTTTAGCATTATGGAGTGTCACGTTAGGGAACTTAATTTCTGCTAACCTCATTCATAACCAGCTGACCTGTGTTTGCTTGAAGTTTTCCAGAAAACACAGCATGGACAGATGCCCAGCATAGATTTTTTTTCATCTGGATCTGTTAGGATTTGACACAGCTATAAACTATTGAAAACAGAGACGTAGGGGATAGATAGGTAACCTTAGCTGTCATTGCTGCTACTCACTATGCATGTGCCTGTATGCTCTTGCATATACGTATGTTTAAATGTGCGAAAATGGAGTGCAATTTGCTTGGAATTTTCTTCACGCAGTATTGTTGTCTGCCATTCATGTTACAGTATCAATGTTATTACATGTTTTGTGAATGGAATTTTAAAAAATAGCTAAATACTTATATTTTCAACTCTTAAGAGACCTTTTTAGAAAGAAAAAATCAGGGGATAAGGATGGGGAGGGGATTCAAGGGAACAATGAGAAAGATGCTCTTCAGTAAAATAGACTTTACATTCAGCATGCTTGCTGCCTTGCAAGACTTTCCTTTCTCACTGAGATTTTTAGTAGTAGTAGAAGCTCGAAGGAACATTTGAAGAACAAGTGAAGTATAAACAGACATTTAGGGAACTCACTTCCAAGAGTAAGAGTATAATGCTAGGAAAAAAACAAGGAGTCTGTTTAAAAATTTAATCAGTGGGCTGACAATACGGACTAAATGGCTTAAGAGTCAACTTCGGAATAATGAACATTGATAAAAAATGAGGATAAGTCTTGAACGTAACAAAAGTTTAAGCTAGAGGAGCAGAACAGCACAAGCAAATGTAATCTCATCCTATATTGGCGACGTTATATATTCTAGACCAGGCCCACTGTGCTGGCAAAAATCTATAATAGGAATTTGTGCCCTAGTTGTTGGGCACAAATGTACGAAAACTAGAACAGTAAAGATAGGGAGAACTGTGAATAACAGCAACTTCCAAAAAATGGAAATAGAATGGAGCTATAATAGAAGTGAGTGATCCAAACAAAAATAGCACAGGCATTTGTGAGTGATTGCATGAAGCTATGTTAGTAAGGAATATTAGGCATATGTTCTTTGTTGGCTGTTTCATTCAGAAATTAATTTGAGAGGTTTTCCACAATTTTACTTGGCAATTGGGAAGCATTCAGGCCTGAGTTCACAGCAGGCATGTTGCTTTAGCATTTGCAGTGGATCTAAATGAACATAGATGTCCTAGGCAGTTTGACATCATTCAAGGCATGCCTCTTCACTGTTTCCTCCTACACACATCTGCAACTGCTGCTCCTCTCCAGACAGCAGCAGCAACCAGCAGCATGTAGCTGGAGCCACCCTCCCACCGGTGCATTACCTTTGAGGCCAGTGGGATGGGATCACATTCCTTCCATTATGGATAAGTGAGATAAAAAGGGAGGTGACCTTGTAAAAAAACCCATAGCAGCACAGAGGAGTTAAATGTTATTTTCCGAATAAAACATTCTGTTAAAGTGGGAGCAGGGAATTTGCAGACATTTGTTTTTTCCTCAGAAGAACTGAAAAACGTTTTGTTGTGGATGAGGCATAAATGTTGTGTGGGCTGGAACTGTACAACTGATTCACTTGGAATTTTGAAGCAGTGCAGTGCTGCTTTTGATGAAGTTATAACACCTCAACCCTGGAATTAAGTTACTTCTTGTACTACTGTACAACTGTTAAATGTGGTTGTGATTTACTGTGTCAAAATACTTACAATTATTTGACCTATGGTGTTTTATGCCAACAGTTGTGTTGGCATAGAATTGTGTTGTCTTGGAAGAGACTTCTTCCATATAAGAGTGGTTACATTTATATAGAGCCAGTATCATCACAGTCATACTAGTGGAAGAACAGTCACGGTTCTCCTCTAATTCTGGTGTAAGCTTGCATAGAGACGCCCATATATTTATCAATAGAAATGCACATGCTTTTACTGTGACTGATCTCATCACTGACTGAGGGATTTAATGCTTGTTTGTTGCTTCCTGTTTTTGAAGATGTTGAAGAACCCAACATGCAGAGGCTTCTTTCTCAACCAGTTATTGTGTCTTCCAAGTTGCAAATCCCTGGCCTACCCTTGCGCTGGGAACAGCAGAGCAAGCTCCTTCCAAGTGTAGCTGGGATCCCAGCCAGTAAAGTTTCTAAGTGGAGTACAGATGAGGTACGTTTCCCCTGTATCGTCTATCTTGCTGACACTGCTCTTGAAGTCTTGGTTGATTCAGAGCTTTAGATTAGCCCCATAGATTAACAATAATGCATTAGTACTCAGAGGGTTAGAGTCAACCAGACCTAACGTAACAGATCCCCAAAATGCCCGTTCAGCTGCCATCCAGCCCTGGAAGCAGTAAGTATTAATTCATATGTGTATAGATAGGTGTAGATATGGATAAATATGTATGTGTGTGTGTATATATTCACTGGAGCTAAAAAGGGAACGAAAAGTGCTAAATGCATGGCCCAGCAGATCAGGTGCGCAAGGTCTACACTAGTAACGTCTAGCACCCACACAAACATTCTGGAGGAATGGTTTAGGGGTCAGCATGGACAAAGGAGCTATTCCTGGGGGATAGTTTGGATGTGGCACGCTGTTTTTGAAGGTGAGAATATAGTGCAGAGAGGAATCGTATGGATATGGTCAGGCCATGACACCTGATTTCAGGATTAGAGCCCTGTCACGGTTCAAGTATGTAATAATGCTTCGACAGACAGGGTCTAGTCCCTTCTTTACTTTCAGAAGTATCTATGACTAAGGCAGTTTTCTGCAGCTGGCGCAGTTGGATCTCCTCTAATCAGAGAAAAAAGAAGCATGAACTTTGAAAAAGGACTTGGTAATTGCTGCTGTAAAGAATAAAGAAGAGGAAGGCAGCAACCATTTTGGTTTGTGAGAAGTGATTCACCGAGAGAAGATTTATGGTTCTGGACCTGCATGGATAGAATAACCAGAGTAATTTTGAGGGAGCAGCCATATTCCACTCTTAGATGTCCTGTGGACAAGAGTGGCACGTGCTCTTTTAGTTTGCAGATTTTGTGAATCCTGTCCTTAAATACACAGCTGCATGACTCCACACACTTAGAAGAAAGTGGAACACCTAATATGAGGCTGTAAAAACAATAGCTAAAAAACTTTACTTTAATGATTGACATCCTTTAAGACTATTTTGAGAAAACACCAGTCTTACTAAATCTTCTGTTGTATACTTTGTTGGTAGGTCTCTGAATTTATACGGAGTTTACCAGGATGTGAAGAACATGGCAAGGTGTTTAAAGATGAGGTGGGTGAATTTTATTTCAAAAAGACACAGAGTACAAAGCTTGGTGGAAAGATTAATTTTATGTCATCATTAAAAATTGATATAAAGTAGTAGGACGAAGTGTATGTTTAAGGTCAGATGCAAATGTATGGAAGTTTAGGTTGGTTTGCAGGTCATGGAGTGGAAGGTAGTAAAGAAGATAAAACTAAGTGTCAGCCAGCTCTCTTCTGCTTCTCTAGCTTTGTTACTACAGCTGAAATTAATTAGAACTAATGGTAAAAGAGGAGGAACTTTGTGATTTGCTAGTGTTCTCTCTTAATCTAGTTTGAGGAAATTTATGTTATTTTAGTTCTGCAGGATGTTAATAAGTAAAATAAAGCAGAGCAGTGGTTCAAGATAACCACCTCTTAAAACTCTTTGCAACTTGTCTGATCACACTTAGCTCTTGATGCTCTTCCTCCTGATATAGCCAGTTTACAAATGTGATTTGAGTGAGCGGGAAGTGAGAAGATCTGAAGACTTCTGATGAGGTTCAGAGGAGCGTGTACTTGCTTTGTGAGCGTGACAGGCATGTATTTCTGGTATCTGAGAAGACTGTGTGCCGAAGTTGTCATTAGGAAGTGATGGGGTTTTAGGTACAATAGGCCTTTATAAGCTAGGTTGGCTTCCTCTTTTCCACTCAGCAGTTTGTTACTCCTGTTAATGCTTTGTTTCAAGAAGGCTGTTTGATCACAAATTGCCGGAGTGAATAGTTCAGATGTGTGTCCCACCCAGACCACCTGAATGGGCAGAGTCTGATACTGTAATATCCCAAGTCAGTCAGTGAAGAATAACTGTGGTACTTAGACTTGAGAAGGCACCTCCTGAGGAAAATGCATACAGATGGCCCTGCTAATCTCCTGCGACAAAAGTTTTCAGGCTGTGCTGTAAATTGTAATGACTATTACAGTTGCATATCAAAGGACTGACAGGCTGCATTTCTGGGCATTTTGCATTTGCTTAGGTGTTAAGCATTTTACAGTTGCAGCAGGTATGCAGGCCTGGATCATACCCTGTGTCACTTAGGGTGTCTCACCAATGAATTCAAGATCAATAAACGCTGGCATATTGCTAATCAAGTCAGCAGGTGGGAAGTGCCACAGAGATGGATGAGTCCTAAACAGTTTCATTCTCAGAGAATAAAGAAAATAAGAAAATATGTAAGAAAATACTTCTCCTCGTTAGGATTTGGCCTTTGAGGCTTTGTCTGTGAGTAGTAAGTTAAACCTCTCCCAGTGAGGCCAACCAGCATGGACTGGCTGGCATCAATAGGTCTTTCAGTAGGCAGAAGGTGCTGGTTCAAACTTCTGCTGTGGAAATGAACCCTCATCCTGCTTATTTTAAGATGCTGCAAAAAGCTGGGCACTCCCACATTCGCACGCTTCTGGTTCTGAGCCCACCAGTCTGGCTTTGTGCACAAAATGAGTAGAAAGGAATTGTGGTAACTGCGTGACGTTGTTCTCAGTGCAGTGTTTCTTGACTTTCAGTGCTGGTGTGTTACCTTGCAGGCTTCCTTTGCAATATGTCTGATCCAGAAAGCTTGTCTTCTAGTCCTACAGAAACTTAATGACACTTTTTGTCTCAAATTAGTATCTTCAAGTCTAAGCAGTGCTCCTGATTTAACCACAGTTGGCTTTTAGGCCTAGCTATCCTGCTTATGTTATACTGAAAACTTACTATAGGTACCTAAGTGACCTGAGGTTTACACAAGAACTGTTGGCCCCATTGAAGCCCTTGGAAGTGAGGGCCTTGTGGCTCTTCATGTTCGGATTTAGCGCTCCTTCTGACAGAGCGGTTTGCTTACAGGAGAATATTCACTTGTAACATTTATTAAAATAGCAGCACTACAAAGCTGGCAGAAAAAATAACTCAGTGTTTTTAAAAGTTGTGTTTGTGTCAAAGAGGCAGTTTTATGTAGCCTGGCCCCTGTTTACATCTGGGATCAAATTCGTTTTAATTTGCTATTTAATGAACAGAAAGGGGTGGCCTGAAGAGGGTTCCAGTTCTGTAGTTGGGAGTGAAATCCAGAAGCTTTCTTGCAGAGGCTTGCATAAAAGAAGTAGCTAAGATGTTAAGAAGTGTTACTGTGCTGCAGTACAGTTGAATTATACTTCATTTACCCATTTACTTTTCAATAGCTGTTACTTTATACTGTCAGTATGAAAATGAGAACTGCTTAGCAAAAAATTAGCCAGATAGTTGTTTTCAAGCAGAGAGAAGATAATCATCCTATTCTTTTGGACTAGCTGATCTGTCTAAAAGGTTGAAATTAAAGCTATCCTGAAAACGTTTGAAAGTGTTTGTATTCAGCCATTCCTTTACACTGTCTGAAATTGCTGGGAATTTTCTTTTCATGTTTTCTGAAATATCTATACTGCTGCACTGTCAGACCTATTAATAGCTTTGTGTGTTTTTTCTTTTAAAGCAAATTGATGGAGAAGCATTTCTGCTAATGACCCAATCAGACATAGTCAAAATAATGAGCATTAAACTGGGACCAGCCCTAAAAATCTTTAATTCCATTCTGATGTTCAAAGCTGCAGAAAAAAACTCACACAATGAACTTTGAAGATAATGGAAAATGTGTACGAGCCAGCTTTCTCCACTGGAGCTCATGTTTTATTCAAAGCACAAAGACTTGCTAGAACTGTTGAGTAAGGACTCTCAGAAAGGAAGAAACGTACGTTCAGCACTGGTGGACTATTTATATTCTCCTAGAGCCAGTACACATCTGAATCCTTCTGGGAAGTGTTCAAGCTTTTGAGAAGCTACTGTGTAACAACCGAGTCAGCTAGTCTTATTTACCAAACTAATGGCGCTAATTCTCCATGGATGGTTAGGATCCCTAACTTTCTCTGGACATCAAGAAAACATTCATTCATTATTTATGCGGTATTATATAAGGGAACGTTAATATTTTCTAAGAATTCTTGAACTCTACTTCATGTACCCATTTTACTTTTCAGAAGCTTTTACTTCATACTATCAAAATAAAAACTGATTAGCCAAAAATTAGGCTACAGGTAGCCAGATGAGACTGTTACGGCTAATACGTATTCGTGCCATAGTTTAAAAATGAAACACTTAATGTTACATACCTGACACTTTATGCTACAGCATATAACTTTACAGATTAAAACTGTCTGTTTGCTTGTAACAAAACAAAACAAACCTTGTTGGGGTTGAAATTAAAATGCTTTTTTGATAACTGAATGTTTTTACTTTTGCACGATTACAAAAATGTTATGTGAGTTTTTCCACCAGCATCTTTAATGTATTTTACCAAAAGACCAGTATAGAGAAGGCTGCAACTGAAAAATAAAGTTTGACTTCATAGAAGACTTTTCATTTATGCTGCACAATAGAATCCCAGCCTTTTACATGGGAGCCTGCTACAGTCCTTCAGCACATGAAGGAAAATACGTGTATTTTGAGGTAAGGATATTGGCAAAAAAGAAAATGCATTCATTCGTGTCTGCACATGCCAGTCTCCAGTATAGTTACTACAACAGTGGAGAAAAACAGTGTGCTAAAGGTAGGACTGCTACTTTGGCTTCATATTAAATGTAAGTTTGTTTTCCCAGTGGTGGGAGAATTATTCCACCCACCACTTCCTAGCTGGAAAGTCTGATTTATAAATGAATAAGGCATAGGGGGAAAGACAAAGCACGGAGGAAAAGGATACTTAAACGCATATGGTGCATCGGCACATCCTAGGTGTAAAACTCATGCATTTCACTGGGTCATTAGCAGGCTGCAGATGCCACCAGCAGGTACTTAGCAGAGGCAACCTTCTTTCTTGGAGGATTATTATAACGCTTTGTCAGGGAAAGTCGTTGCACTTGGTATATATACGTAAGATGTAAACCAGATGCACTTTAAATGGGAGAAAGCCTAGCTACCTGTATACTGAGGACTGTTCCAGAATGTTACTTTTGCAAGAAGAGAGAGAAGAGTTGGATCAAGATTTTTGGCAGCCCTCTTCTTAGCGCTGTGGTGGGCAGTTGCTCAGCCTTCAGAGCTGAGATCAAACATTTCCATTGCACAGAGCTGGGAGAATTTTACATCTTCCCACAGATTTTTGCTAGGCTGTTCTTTGGCTGGAGTTCCTTAAGATTTCGGGAACTCTCTGTGCCCCTTCCAGATCATGTAGGTGACTGGTACCTGCCATAATATGAGGTGAAACAGGGTCAATATGAAGTAAGTTGCATTGCTCTGTTAATTTCCTTCCATAGCATTGCATAAATAATATTTTTACATTTTGTTCAATATTTGTACATTCAAATTGCACTCTTATTGTACTACAATACAAATAAAACCTGAACTGGAGCTGTCTGTTACATTTGTGTGTGCCCAGGATTCACAGATGAACCCGGCTGTTCCCAAGGGTGGTGTGGAGTAATTCCTCACTGTAGCTCAATGTGGCCATGAGTTTAAAAGAGCAACTTGGCTACTGCTACCTCCCTTCTCCCTGAACACTTACTCCTAAGGTTCACAGGCCACTCCCTTGCTGTCACAATCAGAATTCCATTTATGGACCTGGATTTTGTCACCGGCAGCAGCTGAAGTTGCCCATGCAGATCAGTAAAATGCCAAATTCTTCTGTTTTCTTTCCTTCTATCCTTCCATGTAATTTATTTTCCCTCACCCTGTGTGTCTCTCGTGTGCCAGCTCTGTAGCCAGCAGTGAGAGATTTGCTGCTCGACAGAGATTACTTGGGGATGTTAGCAGCTCCCTGAATTTTTATATACCTACTTACAAAATACTGTGGTTTAAGAAATGGGTTTGAATTAATACTGTTTACAAGATGTAGAATAAACCTCAACTTAAATGATACGGAGCCCAGCTTTTTATTCATACAGTTACCACAACAGTGAGGATGTGCGTAATCCTTACTTCTGTATCCCGTGTGATGAGGTAGCAGGGTGTAGCCACCTCTGTTACAAAAACGACACCCAACAAATTCACTGGGACACTAAAAACACTCAGGGGACCTCCTGAACCATTAAAACAGCAGTTGGTATTGTTTTGTCTGTTGTGTTGGAGGTAGCCCAGCCGTCACACAGGTAAAAGCTGTCCCCTGATTTCCATGGGATCCACATTAAAAGACTTTAGCAAGAGAGTCTGGCCATTAAATGCAGCGATCTCCCCTCTACTGCAGGGTCTCCCGCTGTAATCTCTGCGTTGGCGTTAACCCTGCACAGCCAGGCTTTAACAAAACTTCGGTGGCCTTTCAAGCCGTGTGTTGGAGTGTTTAAAGAATCGTCGTGACCACAAACACTGCTTTGCCTACATGCACACTTTTAGCACTGGTGGGAGATTGATCTCTTTAGTAGAACGCAGTGTTTTAATAAAAAGCCATTTTAATTTCTAATTAATGTAATGGGGCATGTTTGCTGGCTGCTGCTACTGTCTATTACTAGGTGCTTGTCTGAAGTTGTGCGCTGTCAGGCAGTGATCCCTGGGATTTCCAGAGAAGCAGGAGTTAAAAGGAGCATGTTAGGGAGAAGAGGCAGCTGTGGAAGAAAGGAGGAGAGGGCCTCCGCTCTGTGTGGGCAGGTAGGAGAGTCACCATGTGGAGAAGGCCGATTTGTTCTGGGGAACAAATTCGGAAAGAAAATGAGGAGTTCGCTCCCCGTCGCCAAAGCTGTGGTTACAAACGCACATGGCAGCATCCCAGATAAGTCATTCGTGCTACTTTGAGAGCTCATCTCAGAATCCGCATTTAGCAAATTCAGGATTAATGTTAAAAAAAAAAAGGAAAAGAATGTTTGATGCATGGAGAAAATAGTGAAAAAATCATCATCCTGCAAATTATAAATCAGGCCCACCATTTTAAAACACAAAAATTATTACAGTAGGCTTTCAGTGATTGTAATATAATGAAATGATGGTAACACGTAGATCTTTAATTTGTGCCACTTCAGAACATTAGATGTATTAGCATCTGAAGGAGCAAAGTGCTCACATTAACTCACAAGTGTTTTTTTTAAATTCTGGCAGTCGAAAGACTATCTGAATCTTTTAAATGCTCCATGTCAAACAATAATACACGATACATGCAGTAATCTAGAAAATTTTATTATCTCTAATGCTGCTAGACTGCTCTAGAACTTCCATTTAAAATAATGAAAACGCTTCGGTTTTAAATTTTTTAAAAAGTAGCCAGTACAATAAAAAAAAAGGGCATTATTAAACATAACAGTTATAAATATACATACACTTTCACCAGAAAGAATGGCACTGATTTATCTTCACAACAAAGGGATTTATTTTGACAAAATGTCAAATGCTCCCGAGAGAAGTGCCGCGTACACCGTCACATACTGGGATACTCGGGTACCTCCAGCCCTCTCTTTACCTGGGTGGGCAGGGATGCTGGGCTCCTCACCTCAAAGACCAGGGACTCCAGGAAGTTGAGCGTCCTGTGGATTCTCTTTGGGCACGGGATATCGAACACGTGAAACGCAGCCACCAGTGCCGCCAGGGCCATGGTGCAGTCATCGAGCTGGGCTAGCTCTTCCCTTTCTACGTACAGCGCAAACTCGCATGAATTCACATTGAAGGGATTTTTTACTTCCAACACTGGTGTCACCACCTTCACCTAAATGAAAAAGGGTATTTCAAATGATGTCACAGCATCACTTTGGTGACCAGGTGAGAGAAGTAAGCAAGCATAGTAACACTGCTTTGAATTTAGTTAGTATTTCTATGAATATTTGCGTTCTACCCAAAAGGCAGGCTAATGTCAGCCTTTTCCAGGAACTAGGCTGAGCCACCAAAGGGCCGGGTGATGTGCCCAAACAGCTCATAGGAGGAAGCGAGACCCAGCCTGTCAGTGCTCTGTCTCCTACCTCCTCGTTCACCGCAGCAAACAGACTGGAATCATCTCCAAAGACATCTGGCAGGAGTAAACATGCAGCAGTCATTTTCATATCTGTCAAAGGCAAGGATTTCTGCTAAATTACATATGAAAAATGTTCTGGCGCTGCAGTATCATCCTGGAAAAGCAGATTGCAGCCTATGAAATAGTTAACAGCTCAGCAGTGGAACAGTGCATTCTGAAGAGCAGTTCGTACCACAGTGAAGGTTTAGGTGCCTCAGCTGGCAATGGGCAGTAGTATTCAAATCATTCACGACACTCTGCTACTCAGTATTATGATTAAATTTCTCTCACAATAAGTAAGCAGGCCTTGGGTTGCTTCTAGTGGAGTTTGCAAGTGGAGTAACCCTCCTGCCCCCAGCTCCCGTCCCTAGACTCCTCTCTCCCCAGTAAATCAGGTGTCTCTGGGGAGCCCTGTTGCCAGAGGACTCCACTTCGAAGGCTGCAGGACAAACTGGTGCTGCAGGACCGCCTGGGATGTGGTAGCCGCCACCCCTCCGGTTCAGCTGTTAATGACCATAACATATTTTTTGCAGGTCAGACTTCTGGTGGCGTGTGTTTCACTGAACCTATCCTGTCAGGCGTTTATTATCTGGGTGCCAGGTCAAGCTGTTTGTAAGAAAAAACAGGAACGTAAAGGCCTTGGGACTTACACTAAGATATTTTCCAACCTGAATGATTCTATGATTCAAAATCTTTGTGGGCATATTGTGTAAGAAAAGGGGAAATTACTTACAATGTCCATAGCTTTCTATGGCCAAAGGTATCAGTGGAAAGTCCATAAAGGCTTTTTGGATTAGGCTGTTCATTGACACTTTTTAATCTATCATGAGCTATTGGGTACACATGTTTTTAGGCTTAAAGGAAGAAAAACCCACCATGTTAACCTACTCTGCTTACTTCTGTAAGAAATGAGCCAGTAATAAAAGGGGTGAAACTACTATAGGAAACAGAAATGTTCATACTGGGTTGCTTTTGATCCTGGCATTATGCCTGTTTGATAGCAAAATGACAGTCAAAGCAGCACTTCTCACAGAGCTAAGCTCAGGCATTAGGCATCTACAGCTGCAGTTTGAGAAGAATAAAGATCACGAGTAACTCCTTCAATGTTTTGTCCCTGCGGAACCACATTCCCAGAATTCTCAGACTTGCAAGAAGTTGAGTGGCAGCAGGTGCTTGCTCCCTTGCAGCCACCGAGCCAAACACACCGAGGTACCTGGACCTCTTTGCATGACTCTGATATTGGCTCTCCAGAGGTACCAGTCTGTGCACTTCTTTTTCCTGCAATGTGTCTCTGCTGAGACGTGGTACTTGCAATACAGGTAGCTGTAACTACTTCTTCCATTATTTCACTGGGATGAAACAGTTCACTGTAGAAACAGTACCCCTCTTTCTAAAAGAAATTGTCTCCTTTTATGGGACTGTTTCTCTTTCTAAACCAGAAAACTCATTTTCTGTATGTATTTTTAGAAAATAATAAGCACTCTTTTACATATCTAGAAATACATAATTCTGCTCATCTTATTTTAAGGCAGTTACTAACTATCAAACCTGCAATCTTTCATTCAATAGGAAAAAAGTTTCAATACCTGACTGACTTAATTTTCCTAGTAATTTATTAGCTTTTATTTTTAATGTTTCCCCATCACTATATATTTTTCAAGCAACTGTGACATTTTAAAATGGTTTTTGCAGTAAAATTAGAGCTAGTTTAGTTACATAAGTAAGAACAATTAGCTACAACAAAACTGTGATATTCAGAGCATAGAAGATTTGTACTGACATTTCAGAATGTCTTCCTCTGTGTGCCGCTTCAGATTTTCTTGCAGCATAATGTTAATTGGATTATTCCTCACCACATACAAAGATAATATGTTTTCTGAATAAATCTCCAAAATCTCAACTGTTTTCTTATAAATGTCCATGTGCGTGAGAAGCTGGAACTCCCTAAAAAGCTAAGAGAAAAAGAAAAATTTGGTATTACTGCAATTCTCAAAACCAAAACTGAAAACAACATGAGGTGGACACTTTGAAGACAGGATAAGACTAGCTCAGTAAAATAAGATTATAAACTGGAGGGGGTGTTCCGTTTCTTTTCAAAGCAGGGAAGAAATACATCAAGCAACACCAAAATACTTCAGAAAACCAACTGGTGGTGTGTGTGGCATGTTTTAATACAGGACTGGTGAATCTTTTGAAGTGGGATTAGCAGCAAAAGTATGAGTTAGATTAAAGAGAACAATGTTGATGGATACTTCACCGGAAACATCCACTGAAGTATGTGCCTATGGTTGTATCACATCTAGAACACAGAATTCAATGTCATTATTAAAAATAGCTCTGTTACCTGATAAGGGCATCTTAAGAAAGGAAATAGTCTAAGAATGTCTTTTACAGGTGCCTTATTGCTGATCATCTTCCTCCGTATTTCTATTGTCACATTCATTCTGTTATCCACTTCCTTCCAGTTCCTCTGAGTTTTCATATATTCTCGCTTAAGCCACTTAATGTGTACATCCATTGCACTGCCTTCAAGATGAACAGGTTCTTCCTATCAAGAAATGAAGGACAGAACTGTAACAAATCAGTTGGCCTTTTTGTCTGATGTGGCTTGTGTGATTTGAGTGTAGTCAAAGTGTAGTCAAGCTCAGCAGAAAGTACCTGTTAAGTGTGGTTTCAGTACCCTCTCTGTGAACTCACCCTCATATTCTAATAGTTATATTAAAGATCTGTTTTCATATAACACTATAGCTATCAGCCACGGCTCCCAAGTTCAAATTACATGTTTGAGGATATTCATGAAATCCCTGTGCCTGTATCTGGTTTGCCTAATTGTGGTTTATTGGAAATTAGTAGGCAGTTCTAAAGATGACTCGGTGTTTAGCAATATTAGCTCTGTATTACCAGGAGAAATAGTATTTTCTTCTTACTCATACAGGTCCTAAAAGCAGGACAACTAACTTTCACATTTATGCAACTGAAGTATTTACCCCCTGAGGAGACCAGCTGAACAAAGAAAACTCTTAATAGGAAGCATTAGTTAAGCAGTTTGACTGTTAGTGTTTTCAGAGTTATTTTATACTTGAAGATAGTTAACAAACTTCCTCAAAATTATTATTACTGTCCCTGCTGTAATTCCAAAGCCAGTAATTACTAAAAGGAGGAGTGGCTATCCAAAGCAGTACATCTGTGGCAGTAGCCTGGAGGTGTTTAGTTTCTGTCAGAGGATGCAGTGAATTTGCCCATTGAAACAAGCTGAGACAACATACAGATGGACTATTAGTACAGTTACCACTCTCAGGCTGCCTTTACACTGGCTTTTCCCATACATATTGTCACTGGGGCAGCTGTCATCCATGTCAGTGGTGGCCTGTGGGTCAACACCGGAGCGAGTTGAGACACTTCATCCTGTTCCCCAGAACATTTAAGACACAGAGCTGCAAAACATACAGCATCCCAAACTGCTTTGCAGTGCTCTGTATGTGCAATTAAACTTTCCAGTTTAATTAACATCCTTTATTAAATTGTGCATGTGGTATTCCAAGAATGGTTGCACAACGTACACAATTAAAAAACTGTCTCCCTCCTATTATATCCATGGATTTCAATAGCCATTGGCATCACAGAAGAAAATCGGCCCTGCATGCAGGACAGTTACCTACTGTGACCCCCGCAGATACTCCCCTGGCCCTTGCTAGGGTGCTGTATCAGCACAGTGTGCACTCTTCCTAATAGAGGATTTTAGTCTTAATTGCATGACAACAGTCATGTTTGTTTGCGACCAGCTTGAGTAGGCATTCCTTTTCTCTTCCTCGCTGCACAGGAACAGAGGTAGTGGGTCAGATGATTTAGTTCAATACCCTCCTCCACCTGGCTGAGAGGAGTACTAGGAAAAAATATAAAGTAAGGATGACTGTGTAGTGGTACTCCCCCTGAGTCATGTCAAGGCTCCACTGAACTGTGGTTATGTCTTTGTATTTAATAGCCTTCAGTAGATTTTTTTTTTTCCTTCCATTACTTCTCCCAGTCACTTTTCCAGCTCTCATAAAATCGTACCTTCCACAACATCTTGCCTTAAATTCAGCAGTTTAACTATGCCCTGTCAGAAGAAATGCCTTCTTTTGTTTATTTTCTCCTGCAGCTTCTGCCTTCTAATTATCGTACTGGATTCCGTACCTGTTCACCACCTCCTTGCTGCTGTAGTTTTATAGATATGTCATATTCTGTCCTCAGCCACCTCTTTTTCAGCCAAGACTGTCCTAAGCTATTTAATCATTCCACATATAAAAGCTGGGCCATACTTGCAATTATCCTTGTTACTGTCTTTGCATATTTTCTAATTTCGCTACAGCCTTTATGAAATGGCCACAGTAAAACTTCAAACACTAGTTGAGATGCTGGGACACCACAGGTGCATACAGTGGAATAATGCGCTCCCTTTTGTTTCCTTCTTAAATGATTCTGAGCATTCAATGTACTTTTTTGGACTACTGCTTAGCATTGTGCCAAATTTTCTTTGGCATAATATAAAAATATCATTTGTGACTGGTAATAATAAGCTAAGAGCCCATCACTCTAAGTGTTGTTAGGACTGGGTTTTCTCTTTGTGCCTTATTTCACATTTATCACTATTGAATTTTATCTGCTCTTTTTTTGCCCTGTCACTCAGTAGCATGGGGTCCTTCTGCAATTCTTCAGTTGGTCTTTGTCTTTAGTACCCTTCATAACATCACCAAGTGTGGTCAGCCAACTATTCTCCTTTTTCCACATCATTTAGAAATATATTGAACTGCATGAACTAAGCATTATTAATCTTTTCCACTATAAAACCCAACTATTTCTGCCCAGCCTTCTTTGCTCTGTCTTTTAACTGTTTATCCATGCAAGGACCTTCCTGCTTATCCCTTCAGATTATATCCTCTTAACAGCCTTTGAAAGGCATGTGGTGAAATCTTTTCTGAAGTTAAAGTAAGCTATATCAGCTGGATTTCCCATGTCCTCAGGGTTGTTGAATACTTCAAAGAACTAATGAATTTATGAAGAATTACTTCTTTTTACAAAAACTTGATTCCTTCCCATGTGTTCATCTCTTGGGTCTGCATTACAGTTCTTGCCAGTTTGCCCAGTAAAATGACAGCAGGCTTCTTGGTCAATATGTTCCCTATCTCTTTCCTGAAACTCTAGAAACTGGCAATCAAATTAGCTAACTCCAATTTTCTAGTAGCATGTTTCATGAGCGAAGTTGCACATCACAATTAGAGAATTACCTTTTTTTATGCTTGGGCACATCTGAAAACTTTGCACAAATATCCTCTGTGCCTGGGAATGTGTCACTGCTCACTTTAGTGTATTATTCTGTAACCTCTACTGACACACCGATCTGAGACAGATGCCCTGACATTGCCTGTGAAGAACAGTCCCAGTAATGTGATTGCCTGAACTCCTCGTCTGAGAAACCTTGCAAAGTCTGTCTGGTATTCCTGGTATGGCTTCATATTCTGTGAGCAGTCCTGCACCTGGCGAGTGCACCCTGAGCACTCCTGTCCCTTAGCAGCATCAGGCTTCCTGCTTCTCATCTCTCTGAAAAAGCCTTTATAATCATAGAATCATAGAATCGTTTAGGTTGGAAAAGACCTTTAAGATAGTCCAGTCCAACCATTAACCTAACATTACCAAGTCCACCACAACCAGTGCAGAAAAGGCAGAAAACCACACAACCAATTCTGTGTAAATCTCCAGCAGATAGCTCACAGTCATCAGAGTCCTGTTTTGCTGCTAGCATGTCAGCTCTGCAAGCTCCCTGCATCAGTGTTTGGTATTTTCTGGTATCTAATTTATATTGCTTACTGACTGTGAATATCATTCTAGTATTCACACATCCCCAAGTGAGCCGTTCAGCTGTTCCTTAACCTGCTAACTTGCACTAAGTTGGATGGACAGTCTCTTGCTTCAGTATGACCGCTGCACAAAAATGAGCCTTGGTCCATTCTTGTCAGCCTCAAGATATTTGTGCTTTCTCACACATGCACAGACAAGCTTGGACTGTTGTCTGGGTTTTTTTAATTACACTTATGTTTTTTACTCTGAGCAAGAGCTAGCTTAAAGTCTCTGACTCCAAACAGCTCTGTTACTACTGGCTTCTCCCATGGGTCTGCTTCCAAGCCTCCTGCCCGTAGAGCAGTAGCTTCTTCAGCCACCTGATGGGGAGCACAGTGGTTCATTTCCAGAGGGGGTATCACCTTCAGTGCCTTACTTGCAGAGGCAGGAAAGCAAAACAAACTCAGCCTATTGTGCTGTAACCACAGACAAACTGACTGGGTTGCTTAGAAACAAACACGGAGGAGAGTAAGTTGCGACCTTTGCTCCAGCTTATCTCCGTTCCCCTTGTCAAGGCAAACACCGCTCGAGCTGATGGACTTTCCATGTAGTCAGCTCTGTCCTCGAGAGCTAGTTTAGCTAATGACATTATTAATTAGCTAAATGAGACCATTTGACATTTTCATAAGCATCAATGGCAAGCTACCAATAGAAATATGGCAGTGGTATAAGGAAGAATTGCTGTCATACTTACCTATTAGGAAAAAAAAAATGTGATGGAAGGCTAAGCTTCATTGTGTAAAATCATCCATTACATATGAGTAACACAAGCAAAAGTCAGGGCTAGAATTGGTTTTCTTGCAGCATTCAGCCTACTTAGAGCAATCACTATCTGTAAGCTTTTCACCTTTTTAAGCTGCACTTCTAGGCTGAAGAAAGGTATCAGTAGTTCTGAACTTTTAAGCTCTTTAACATAGAATCATCGAATCATCAAATGCTTTGGGTTGGAAGGGACCTTTAGAGGTCATCTAGCCCAACCCCCCTGCAGTGAGCAGGGACAGCTTTAACTGGATCAGGTTGCTCAGAGCCCCGTCCAACCTGACCTTGAAGGTTGCCAGGGATGGGGCCTCCACCACCTCTCTGGGCAACCTGTTCCAGTGCTTCACCACCCTCATTGTAAAAAATTTCTTTCTAATGTCTATTCTAAATCTATTCTTCTTTAGTTTAAATCCATTATTCCTTGTCCTGTCACAACAGGCCTTGCTAAAAAGATTCTCCCTATCTTTCCTGTAGGCCCCCTTGAAGTACTGGAAGGCCGCAATAAGGTCTCCTCGCAGCCTTCTCTTCTCCAGGCTGAACAACCCCAACTCTCTCAGCCTGGCCTCATAGGAGAGGTGCTCCAGCCCTCGGATCATTTTTGTGGCCCTCCTCTGGACCCTCTCCAGCAGGTCCATGTCCTTCTTGTGCTGAGGGCCCCAGAGCTGGACGCAGTACTCCAGGTGGGGTCTCACCAGAGCAGAGTAGAGGGGCAGAATCACCTCCCTCGACCTGCTGGCCACGCTGCTTTTGATGCAGCCCAGGATGCGGTTGGCTTTCTGGGCTGCAAGCGCACTTAGCTTGATTAAACTAGTAGTTTATGTAAGGGACATGCATATCCAACCATAAAACACATCTTAGAACTTCAGTCAAATAATAGAGCTCCAGAAATGTACCAAGTCTGTGGTTGTACTGTTC